TTCCAGGTCCTTTCGGCAAGTGAGAGCATAGGTGATTCCCTCTGTACAGGTGATGAAATGATGGAACTCAACCACCTTGGTATCACAGCAAGGACCCAGGATTGAACCAAAGGGTTATCCACTCTCCAAAGCTTGTTTCCCCCATGTTCTGCGTTTTGCTTTGAAAGTTGTTGTATGTGCCTGTGCTAAGGATAATTGCGTTAATCAATCATGGTTGCTGCAATTGCGTGGGGGCACAAGCTGAGCTAGTCCCGCAGGGAAGAACCGGGGCACGAAAGCCTGCAAAAGGTCTCGCGTCTCGCGAAAGAGCTTTGGTAGTTATTGTTTATTGTTTCCCACTCGCGAAATCTATGCCTTCTGGTGTTTGCACAAGTTGCGGGCCAAGTTTGTGTATTATCCCTTGCGGCTGTGCGCAAGCGAAAGCACACTTGAAAGCAGTTTTCCCGTCAGCGAACGCGCCATTTTGCGGAATCGCTTGCTGTATTGCAACGAAATCCCTAGTAATTATTGGTATGGGTTTCCCCTGACGGCTTTTCCCTCGACGTACAACTTACCCTGCCTGGAGGATGTGCTGCAGGTGACTGCGCGCAACAAGTTTCGGAAATCTGAGCACCCTGGCGCGCCAGACTTAGTTTACCTGCTGACCTCCTGCCGACTTTGGCTTACCAAAAATCTTCGGCTTGTTAAATCCCCCCAAAGGAAGTCAAAAAGGGATGTGCATCTTGTTCCAGATCTATTGAGCAACTAGGAACTTCATTGCACACTTTGGAAACTAGACCCTTTGAGGCTCGTTTTTCCGAAATTCGTTTCAAAAGGGATCGCGACCTTTGCCCTTGCGGCATTTTTTGAGCCGGGCTGAATCTTCTAGGTGGCCAACTTCCAGCGATGCGCCATGGCTAACCCGGTTGGTGAGGCTCACTTCCCACTTTCCCGCTCCGCCAATGTGCATTTCTCGGGACCTTCACGATCGAGACACTGATGCGGATGCCGAAGAGGCGCCACTTATAGAAGCAAAGATGTGTGACGCGAACATGCCATGATCTCAGAGGTGGTGGCTCGCTTGTGAGCGTCCCACGTCAAACCTGATGAAATCTGGGGCTGGCATGCACGAGCAACTTGTCAAGCTTGCATGAGCTGCGCTGCCGCCGGCGAGGGCCATTTACGTCTTAAGATGGACTCCAGCTCTTGGCAGACGCGAGGGGGTGGCAGTTGGGTTCCCGCTGCGCCAAGATCTAACGCTGTCACGATCTGGGCAAATACCAAGAAAAGCAGCCATCAAAACACGCGTGTTAGTTGGCTAACAACGTGTTCAGGCAAATACCTGGGCCCTCCTAAGTATGCCTTTTTTGTGGTGTTTGGGCCAAAGGCTCCTTTTGGTGCAATCGACACATTTTTTTGCCTCAGTGCATTTTTTGCGTATTTTGCTGTTTCCCGAAACCAGAATAAAGACGAAAATGCGACATTGCCCGACCCAAAGGCGACATTCCCCGACCAAAAAGCGACATTTGCCGACCACGTTTTGGCAAGATTTTGAAGCAGCACTTTTAAAAGGAAAAGGCTCTTTTTGGAGCAAGCGACACAATATATAGCTTTTCAGCAAACGGCAGAGAAAATGCACACCTGGAGGGTCTAGGTATGGCAATGTCTGCTTTCCCTGAGGGTCCAAATCCGTAACTACAAGGTACTTAACGGAATCCGTAATACTCGCGGGTTTTGGCTCGACATGTCAGGAGCGCAGCTTCGGGGCGAAACGCCGTGAATATGACATGTTGCACCGTGTTGCACCAAAATTCAGCCACCCCCTTAGCGGAAGAGTGTTATACTCTGACAGCTTCACTTCACTTGCAACCGCGGCATAGTTGCATCATAACCTTCAGTGATCAGCTTGTCTCGGGGGCATGGGCTTGCTCAAGAAGGACCCTTGGGCTCTCTAGCAGCACATCAACCCACCCGGTCTAGGCTGCGGTTGTTGAAGAAACATATCACGCGATAAAGTCGTGTTTGATTGAAACAAGTTGCGTTCAAAGCCGTGCCGGCGCACTTGTGGGAGTTAGATCGAATTCACTTGTGTCAAATCGAACTAAACCTCATGTACATTAGTTTAATGTGTGAGTGCTGTGCCACGCGAAAGAAGTTTCCACACATCACGCGAGAAAGTTGCGTTAAATTGCGTTAAAATCCGTGAATGCCAGCTTCCGGGCGTTAAGTCGGGTTAAATTGCGGCATCAGTTCTGGAAAACATCTGATGCACTGAAGGATGTTGCGACGCCATATCGGTGCTGCACTTTTGGCAAGAACAAGCACTTTCCCCACGGGCATGGTGAAGACATGTGCAACATTCGGCAACAGTCCCTCAGCTTGAAACAATGCAGAAGGTAGTTTGTCGCTACTCAGGCATTAAGATCTTTGCGCATCTTTGAGCATCCCGAGGCTTTTGACCCGCAAAACCCCGCTTTAGAGGCGAATGTATGACATGTTACCTTAGGCAGTGCTTCTGTGTGCCATCCAGCGATGAACGTATCGCGTGGTCTGCGCTGGGTTTATGTTCCCAAATGGCTTCAAAATGAGAATCCGCAATATTCGTACTCGGGCCCAGCAGTGTCAGCAGCACGGCTTTTTCACGAAAGTACCTCAGTATAGAGTACTTGGACCCTTAGGGTTTGTCATCTTCTGCGCGTGGAACGCCTGCGCTTTCCACGGATTTTGTCACTGGGCCTTTGGTTCGCGTGCAAAGGTGCACGCGGAACACGCCACCCGCAAGCTACGCGAGTGCCGCCCGTTGAGACGTTTTGGGCTGAAGTGCTAAAAGTTTAAGCGCCTCCGTGGAAAGTACTTGGACCCGTTGCTGGGGAAACAGTGTCTCGCAAGTTGATTTTGATGTGGCTTTTCTGCGTGAGCCATGCGCTTAGCCCTATGCAACGTGAATGCATAGCTCCAGTTCTGCCCCTCAGATGTTGCTGAGCAAGAAAGAGACGGCGGCTTGGCGAGCTGCCAAGCCTCACAGGCCGGTCTTGTGGGACCAAAGCTGTGATCCCAGCCTCCGCGTGGTTCTTGCAAGTCGGCCCAGTTGCGAACCGCTTGAATTGGAGCCGCGCGCAGCTGAGGCAGTCTAGAGGAAGACGAGCGCATTGCTGTGGCCGCTGCCTAGTTGCAGTTCGTTCCCCAGCAGTTGAGACTTGACGTGGGTGACTTTGCACGCGATTCGCCCAGTGCGCCGGGCGAGCAAAATCTAGCTGACTTTCAAGGTTCCAAACGTGCGTGGGAGGCAAGGGCTTCAGCTATGCCAGTAAAGCCTTGGAAGTCCCAATGTTTGCTAACGGCTCGTGCGTAAGAGCAAATCAAATGCCTCCATGTAAGATTTGGGTTAAACAGAAGCTGATTTCGCTGCTTTTCCTAGGCGACTTGTGGTTTGCCTGCCCTGGCGGAATGAACTGGCTTGCTCGAACTTTGCAAGCAGCAAAGGGCCCCTGGCAAATTTGTTCTTCATAAAGTGACCTGACTGCACGACGAGGTGGCAAAACTTCGGGGCGATGCGCAGCAGGTCAAAAACCGCTGCCAAGGCTCAAGCATCGCACACTTGAATGTTGTGGGTGGCGAATGCCTTTGTTGTTCAGGCTGGGGGCCCGAGATTATTGCCCGATGGGTTTTGTTTGACTGTGAGCTCTGCTCTGTTGTAGCTGCATTTCCCTCAAAAGCATACAGACTATTTTCCACCGATGCGTTCTCCTCGCTCGAGCTTCGAAGACGTCAGCTCCAAACTGCGCTGGTTGAAGGCGGGTTTGCTTTTCAAGTTGTGCCAGGTTTGCTTGAGCCAGCGGAATTTAGGTGGGAGCTGCAGCTTCCTGTCTAGCACAGAGAGTTGCCTGAAGCACAGCCAAGTGGCCGAAGGAAAGGCTCTGTGTTTGCTGGCGCAGGTGATCAGAGCTCGCGCGAACTGTTTCTTTTGAGACGTAGCCAGAGGCAGAGAGTGTCTTCTTAGCCGTGCCTTGCAGAACAGTTGGACCACTTGACCGCGCCAGACCGTGTTTCCACTTACCAGGGTTCCATGTTGGGCACCCATGCTTGACCCACAGCCATTCCAGCGCTTTGAGTGGCATAAGATTAAACTCATCGCTGCCACGCGCTCGCGTGAAGCATCATTCTGGCAACTCACCATTGCCTTCGTGTTGTTCATCGAAAACAGGCAACTCTCAACGTGCCAAAGGTCACCGACTGCATTTGGCAGGTGTTGGCCAGAGCCAAAAGGTGGGCATTGGGCAGGGCGCTGTCCAGATATCCCGCATGATTGATTTGACAAAGGTACGTGCAACCAAGGACGTAAAGCCCTTTCCTTTCTCTCTGCTGACGAACAAGATGTTTCATCTTCAAGCGCCCAAGGAGAATGACAACCCTGCTGTCCTTACACGTGGAGTTTAAAAGCCACTGTCTTTGCACGTTTGCTCAGGAGGATACAGACGCCCTTTTTGAACGGTGTTGTGTTGACGCCGCTTTGGCCCCTTGTGCTTTCGCGCGGGCTGCAAAGCACCTGTCGCAACACTGCTTAGGCGTCATTGGCTACATAACCTAAACATACCTGAATCTTCCGATGAGCGTGATTTTCCGCTCGTGCAGATTACCGCGCGTTTATCTGAAAAGCACTCGGTTCAATAACAGCGCTTGGATGCGGATATCGAAAAAGAAGAAACTGTCCATCGTGCGGGCGCCGTGTTCCTGCTACTCATGTTCAAGATGTGCAGAGAGCGCCGAACGTGGCAAATCTAGCACGTCTTGATGTGCGCTCGTGTGGCGGGAAGTTGCGCTTTTGTAGCGAAAATGTGCGCTCGTTGTGCGGCCTGGCCCGTTTCATCCAGGAAAGCTGCTGCTCAGTTCAAAACGTTGAGCATTGCGCAGAGTGTTCTTCAAAGGAGCCTCAATTCCTTCGCGAAGCAGCCCTGATTTAGCGGTCAAAGACAAAATAGCGCTCGTTTGCCCAAAAAACGCTCGCAAGCACAAAAAGCGTATCAAATAACAACTTGAGCAGAAAAATAACGCTCGTTGGAAGATACAGGTAAGAGTCCAATAGACGCGGGCACCCAGGTTGTGTGGTTTGTGTTGGCTTGGGCCTGGACATGGGTGCTTCCAGCGGCCGTTTCTGCGGCCACATGCAGGCCTTCCTTGCTGCTCGACTCAATCTGCCGCAACAAAGAGCAGGCAAAGCGGGGTGCCGCACTAACCCCCGGAGCATCCCTCACAAATCTAAAGTTTTGCATTAAGCACTGTCTCATTTCCACTCCTTTTGGGCTGATCCTTGTGAGCAGGCCTTTCCGCATGATGCCACCGGTTCTTTCGCATATGCGTCACATGGTTTATTAGTGCCCACCCTCTTTCTCGCGGCAAGCCGCTTGCACTTTGAAGTTCAGACACACGGGCAAGCCCTGGCTCGCTCGGGGTCTTGAGCGGGTGTGGGCTCGGATTCGCCGAATTTCGTGTAAGACCTATGTCCCCATCTGCAAATCGCTCGCTGAGAAAGACCTTGAGGTGGTGTCCGCGAAGCTCCAAGCTTTTGGCACGAACCTCGTTCGGCAAGCCTGGCCCTGTTTGAGATCGGCTGCCGCGAGCCTCTTCAAGTCTGCCACTGGCGACCCTTGCAAGCTGGTTGCAGCAATCAGACATCATGGGACGCGCCCTTCGGTGAACTTGTGAGGCGCGGGCCAGCAGAGCAGGTGTCAAACTTAAGTCCTCCATCTGTAATTTCTTGAGTGCGCGACAATCCGCCTGTTTCAGTAAGATCTAGGCCGCCGCACCTTTCCTGACTGCTTTGGCGCTTCTCACCATGTCATTGTTTACTGACTCACTGAGACCCATTAGTGCTTTGTAACCTTTGCTTAGGAAATTGCAACTAGCAATGCTTGAGCGCATAAATGGGAACTTCTTACTCCTTTCCAATCTAAGGCCTTGTGAGCAGCGCTTGCCAGATACACAGTACCTGGGCGCCATACCGCTGGATACCGCTACGTGTTTGAGCAGTGATTGGGACACGCCCTGCTCTCTGTGCGGCCAGACTGGTTGGGAGGCAGCCGGGTGCGGGAGGTTGACGGCTCCCAGCTTGGGTATGTGGATGAGCCAGCAAAAAGTGGCTTCTTCCACGTGTGGCGTTTTGGTTGGATCAATCCGCCAGCTCGCTTGCTGTGGCGGGAGTGGGCGGCTTCGAGGTCAGCTGTCTCAATGGGGTTCCCATACCTCGGGATTTCGGAGGCGCGCGCCGTACCAAGGGCCGTGTGAGGATCTAAGACTTTCTGATTTGGGAAGGTGTCGAGGCTCCACCAAAATGGCTTCGGCTTTCCCTGTGCGTGCTCTTTACACCAGCTGAGAAGGGTTCCCTCAAATTGACTCACCCTTCTTTGCTTGTTGGAGGAGCTCGGGCAAGCGTGACACTCAGGGCTTGCGCAACGTGCTTCCGCAAATCTATGCCAGCAACGGATTGCAGTGACACACGGATTCTGAACGCATGCCCATCAGGAGCACTATTCTGACTTTGCCCCGCTTTGAACTACCCCGATTTCTGATACTCCGGATGCTTGTGCTCCCTACAGAAAACCATGTTTCCAAGGCGCGGCATTTAATAGAGCTTCAAAAGGGGTACTTGGCTGCCGCTACTTGCTTTCAGCAAAAGCTAGATCGCACAACCATCAGACTCCCAAAGTTGACCAAAGCAGGTTGTGCCAGATCATTTTGCCATATTTCGCCAACTGAAGTGTGCGCAAGTCGCGTAAGGCTTCATTTGACCCGCCCCAAGTCTCAAGCCACATATCAGCTTGCAGATTCTTGCCCAAACACACCAAGCTCGGAGGGTGGCAAAGCCGCGAGATGGGTTCGGTTGAGCTAGCAACCTCAGATGCAAAAAAGCAGCTGCGCGTTTAAGAGACTCACTCATCGGTTTCCCGAGGAACAAGAAACCATGAACAGGCAGGGCAGTCTTCTTTCCGAGTGCCAATTGTGGGGTAGTCGGCTGCATGTACTTCTTTGATCTCGGGATCAGGCGCACTGGGCCGCTACTATTCTCCAAATACTTGACTTCTCGTTGGTAATCCCCTAAAAGCAACTCCGACCAATTGTCCTCTAAGAATGGGGCACGCTCATTTCACTAACTTTGGCTCATGTGCAATGAGGGATGAGGCTGCCGAGTCAACAGTTCCGCAGGTGCACCCGAATCAGATCATCTCAGTTTGCAGCACACATGCGTGTATATATATGTATAGTTTTCTGTACACACACACACATCATCACCACTGATTAGCCTCTGTAGGACCTGTTCCTCCAATCTAAGACTACATTGACTACCCCCAAACCACCCCCAGAAGCCAATGGATATAAACAGGGTATATATAAGGGTTATACGAGGGCGCCTCAATTTGTGCATATTTGGTTTCGCTTCTATCAGTTTGACGTTGAAACTTGTGAACATCAACGCTCGGTTTGCGCCGGTATCTTTGTTTAAGGTGAACATCAAAGCTTTGCTTTCTTGGCAGCCAGTTTGGTTTGCTGCTTTGATCATGTCGCGTTGCAGGGACCGCCACATACCCGGTTTTGGGGGTAGTGAGTTCCAAAACGCGCTTTTTGGGGGTAGTGGATTTGACTGGGCGATTTGGGGGTAGTCGCACGTCACCTGGTATGCGCGTGAAAAAGATGAATCACCCAGTTTGGGAGTAGTTGGGGGCGGTAGCGCGCGGATAGTGCGGGAGTTCCGGAGTCGGTGTGGGTGGCAACAGCCCCAGAATTCCTTTTCGATTACCGGGACAATCGACCACACAAGTTCACCACTTTTAGCCACGAGGTAGACGGGCAAGAACTGTGCTGGTAGGGACTCACCATTCTAGGGGCCAGGCAGCTGCAAACAATTTCAAACATCAAGCAGTTTGAAGGGTCCGCTGGAGCACAAAATCACAAAATGTTTGCTTTTGGGATCTTTTGGGGGTAGTGTTTTGGGGGTAGTGAGTTTGGTCTTAGATCCAAGTCATTCCCATTTTTGGAGGGTGTGACCTGGTTTTTGTACCATCAGAGAGGATTTAATCTGGGACAAACTTGCAACTTGTTCTTGGCAGGCCTAGTGGATCATTTGTGTGTTTGAGTACGTAAGCAATCTGCACAGTTCCATTCAGCTCGTTGATTCTGGGCGGTTTTTGTAGCGGACAAAGAGTTCTTGGCTTTTGAGATAGCCTCAAACTATGGGTTTCCCTCCCACCGACTAACATGGAAGATTATTGTCCTCTTGGAAAGGGGGTTTGCGCACTTCCATCTTAGTTGGTGGGAGGCAATTCCTGAAAAATATGGGGTCATTCTCTCGTTTGGTACGCCAAGCGCAGGCCTTCGGATATGGATCCGCGTTGGCTCGCGCGGAATTTTTGAAAAGCCACCCATACGAAGAGGGGGTTTGTCCTTTTTCCTGAACGCATGGCGAAGGGTTCTTCCGCTGGGTTCATGGGAGTTATCATCATGAGAGTCATTGCAAAGAGTTATCATCATCAGAGTCATTGCGCAGAGTCATTGCACAGAGTCATTGCTCATGAGAGTTTTAACTTCCTTTCTCTTCTTAGGGCGGCGGGGTAGGGCCGACAGCGCTCGACGAAAATCAACTCTGCGGAGATCGGCGTGGTCGAGGCCAAAGACTGCGGACTTTTTACGATTTCTAATCTGCGCGCGCGACCCTCTGCGGAGATTCGTGTGGTCGATGATAAATAGAAAAACTGAGGACTTCTTACGGTTTTTGATCTGCGCGTGCGACCCTCTGCGGAGATTCGTGTGGTCGATGTTCAAAAAACTGAGGACTTTTTACGGTTTCTGATCTGCGCGTGCGACCCTCTGCGGAGATTCGTGTGGTCGATGTTCAAAAAACTGAGGACTTCTTACAGTTTCTGATCTGAGCGTGGGACCCTCTGCGGAGATTGCAGTTATGCACATTGCACGCCATGCATCGGAGCCACTTGCGAGTCACTGTCTGCACACGCACATGTTCCGTGGCTGAGCCTGTCCAAGCTTTTGCTGATCTTCGGCTTGTTAAATCCCCCCAAAGCAAATCAAAAAGGGATGTGCATCTTGTTCCAGATTTATTGAGCAACTAGGAACTTCATTGCACACTTTGGAACCTAGACCCTTTGAGGCTCGTTTTTCCGAAAGTCGTTTCAAAAGGGATCCCGACCTTTGCCCTTGCGGCATCTTTTGAGCCGGGCTGAATCTTCTAGGTGGCCGACTTCCAGCGATGCGCCATGGCTAGCCCGGTTGTTGAGGCTCACTTCCCACTTTCCCGCTCCGCAAATATGATGCCGAAGAGGCGCCACTTATAGAAACAAAGATGATGTGTCGCGCGAACATGCCATGATCTCAGAGGTGGTGGCTCGTTTGTGAGCCGCGCACGCAAACCTGATGAAATCTTGGAGGCACAAGCAACTTGTCAAGCTTGCGTGAGCTGCGCTGCGGCCTGCGAGGGTTTACGTCTTAAGATGGACTCCAGCTCTTGGCAGACGCGAGGGGGTGGCAGTTGGGTTCCCGCGGTGCCAAGATCTAACGCTGTCACGATCTATGCAAACACCAAGAGAAGCAGCCATCAAAACACGCGTGTTAGTTGGCTAACAACGTGTTCAGGCAAATATATGGCATTTGTCATCTTCTGCGAGTGGAATGCCTGCGCTTTCCACGGATTTCGTCACTGGGCCTTTCGTTCCTGTGAAAAGGTGCACGCGGAACACGCCACCCGCAAGCTACGCGGGTGCTGCTCGTTGAGACGTTTAGGGCTGAAGTGCTAAAAGTTTAGGCGCCTCCGCGGAAAGTACTTGGACCTGCTGGGGAAGCAGCGTCTCGCAAGTTGATCTCGACGTGGCTTTTTTTTGCGTGAGCCATGCGCTTGGCCCTATGCAAGGTGAATGCATGTCGTCCAGTTCTGCCTCGATGCTGAAAGAGGCGGCGTGGCGAGCTGAGCCTCACCCAGTTCTGCCTCGAGGCTGAGCCTCACATGAGCTGAACCAAAGTCCCGGCGTGGCTCTCGCAAGTCGGCCCAGGTGGGAGCCGCTCGAATTGGAGCCGCGCGCGGCGGGCTAGAGGAAGACGAGTGCATTGCTGTGGCCGTTGCCTCGCAGCTCGTTCCCCAGTTGAGACTTGACGTGGGCGACTTTGCACGCGCTTCGCCCAGTGCGCCGGGCGAGCAAAATCTAGCTGACTTTCAAGGTTCCAAACGCGCGTGGGAGGCAAGGGCTTCAGCTATGCCAGTAAAGCCTTGGAAATCCCAACGTTTGCTGCGAACGGCTCGTGCGTAAGAGCAAATAAAATGCCTCCATGT